CGAGCATGTTTGGTGGGATGCGGATTCGAACCCGCGACCCTCAGATTGTGAGTCGAGCGCCTTATCCACCTGGCCATGCCGGGCCCTGCAGAAAGAGATAGAGACGGACAATTGAGTCAAGCGCGTGAATCATTCGTTGTGAATTATAGCGTTTGTTTAAGTTATAGCGTGACTGTAGAAATTAAGTGTATTGCAAAGTTGTATTGAGAAAGAATAAACTAGTTTTATTTAAGAAAGGACTTGTATCGCTAAAGTTTCTTCGGAAAGAATTTTTACGGAAAATTAACAAACTAACAGAGACGTAACAATATATATATATTTCAAAATATTATAGTTTAAAAAGGGTAGGTGCCGAATATTTTCTAGGCGTCTTTTCTTCCAAATATTCTTATCCTGTTTAAGAAGAGTTTCCAATGTGCTACAACATACATACCTTATTTGAGAACGGGGACCGCCATGTTTTTCAGCGTTTGTTGGGTTGAAATGTGGGCCTGTTGACTGGCAATCATTACTTAAATCACCTTTTTCGTGCACGTGGAATCCATGCTGATGAGACTTCGCGCCAGCGTGTTCTCCATGCTCGTGGCGGGAAACGTTAAATCCATGAACTTGAACGTGGATATGAAGTGTGGCGTAGTCTTTCTGTTTTGATTCGAAATTTACAAAAATTAGGTAGAGAGAAAACACTAAAAACCGTTTTTCTAAAATCGTGTAAAAGCGATTAGTAATTATAAAGTTTACATTACAAGCGTTAAATAATGATTTTTATGGGTTTTAATAATTTCGCAAAAATGTAACAAGATCTTTTTTCCTTGCATGTAGTAGAGACTGAAATTATGACAGTAATAGTAATAAAAAAAACTATTAGTAACTAACATACCCGTTGCCACAGGAAAATGGTTCCTCGAACATTCTGTTGTTTTTCTACTGGAATTGCTCGATTAGGCCTCATCTTACAGATGGCGCGCTCATATTCATCTCTATGTAATACTTCAAATAAATTTAAAAAACTGTGATACTCGTAGAAAATACTTTATTTTTTAATGACATAGAATATGTAATGATAATAACAACGATTATTCAAACACTAAGTGCACAGTTATATTTTTAGTCTAAATACAGGCTGTATAATTAATAATAACGACTACCCAAACACTAAGTGTACAGTTATTTTTAAGCTTTATATAAATAATACATTTGTTTTCTATATGCATTGTGGCCATTTCAAGGGACACATATTATGAAAATAATCGTTTGCATTAAATTAAAACCAAGATGCCTATTTCTGTGAAGTTCGATCACCTCAATTTCTTATACATATATCAGAAATGCCGTTACAGACAATTTCGTACAGCCACAGCAGCGGGGAGGACCCCCGGGGCGTGGTCGGGTTAGGGAAGCAAGTCGGACAAGACATATGTCTGAACAGGACGATAGGGTAGAAGCCGTTTGTCTCGAGCTCTCCTGCACTTTCTGTTAATCAAAATCTCTTTGCACAGAAACTTGGCACATTGATAAAACTTTGTATGGGTAATATTTTCAAATGCGAAATCAAGATGATATAGGCTTTGGTCAAGGTCATGGCAGGATCAAAGTTTTATACAGGAGACTTTTTTTCTTACCTTTTCCTTGCGAAGCAGTAATATATGTATTGAAATCATCCAGGTTAGGATTATTTAACTTCAGAATGACGAATTTTGATTGGCCTATAAAATATGGCGTACCTTTTTGTAAAGCTCATATCAACAACAAAATAAATTTCTACTTGCATCGCTCAAATTCACTTAGGAGATTTTTAAACTTTCTTTAAAAGTGGAAAAGAAATAATAGTAGTAATTTATTCACGTTATAATGACTAATGATATTGGGCATTTATATTCTTATATTACACTAAAGTTCAATAATATACATTTGTAACTAATAATTAGATTTGCCTTTCACACTTGATGAAGTGAAGTCCAGAATGGCTTCCAGCTAGGAATATATAAATCAATAGATTTTTCCAACCGCATTCGGCGGCGATTTATGGTTGATTCGTTGATAAGCGCAAAGCTACACCATGGGCTGTCTGTGCTCTGCCCACAATAGGTGTCTGAGGCTGATTTTTGGCGTCGTAAGTTTGCAGACTTACCGTTCAGCCACCGTGGAGGGGGGGGGCGATGGGAGATGACGTTGTTCACATTGTAGTATCTGACGTCACGTGCTCCTTGGGTGGGAAGGATGTTCTGGAGTGACCACTTTGTACAAGGGGTCTTTCAAGCGTGGCTGACTTGTGTCTGAGGTCTCTTCCTGTTGTACCACAGAAACACAAAGTTCTCAGTCACCCCATACAGGCCTCTGTGATTGTCGGTAACGTCGAAACAATTTTCACATAATAATTAGTGAGTTCCACATTTTTTGGCTCTGCCAGTAAAAAAAAGAAAAAGATGTCATATCCCAACACTGGTAGAAATTTCACTTTGAAAGGATACATTTCGCTACAGATCTGGTGGGCAAGAATGTATTAAAATCTCCCCTCCCCCTATTTCAAATGCTATACAGCACTAACCTGCTTGAAAGTCTGACAGAGTACCAATAGCCAGCAGGTCCACATCCATCTCAGTTGTTTTAATGGTGATTCTTTGCATGCCTTTCTGGGCAGCATTAGTGGCCTGAAGTTGTAACTTATGTCTGTCTTCTCGTGGTTGCATGGTTGTAGGACAGATTAATATTGAAGACCTGATGACCTCGTTATAACGAGTACCGATTAGTTAGTCTTCTAGTAACTTGTTCATGAAGTAGGTAGAAACGATTCCTGATGAAACTTTTTCAGTTAGCAAAGATGTTTCACGATGGTTCCACTCTCCTCCAGGTTCCAGAGCCACGCTTGTCAGGAGCTGAAACATTTAGGCATTCGAGTTTATAAATGTTCCACATCATATCCTGCCTGTGTACTTTTTATCTTGTAGAGAGATGAATAAAGATTCCACCAATGTAGCCTTCAAGAGCCCTTCGAGACCATGGAGGTGCCACAATGAAAGGTACACGAAGACGCCATTAATGTAGTCTTGAAAGTTCCTCGCTGCCCATGGGGGTACGATTGATTTGATTTTGTTTTGAATTTCGTCCAAAGCTATGCTAGTCGTCTCTAATTTGGCAGTGATAGACTAGAGGAGAGGCAGATAATCAACACCATCCACCACCAACTCTTGGGCTACTCTTTAACCAACGAAGAGTGGGATTAACTGTCACATTATAATTCCCACACTGCTGAAAGGTCGAGCATGTTCGGTGTGACAGGGATTCGAACCCGCGACCCGCATATTGTGAGTCAAGCACCTTAATAACCAGGCCATGTCAGGTCTTAAAGGTTCCTCGTGGCCCCTAGAGGTACCATGATGAAACCTTCAATACTATATTGATGGTATCTTTGTCCCGATGCTCCAAGGATTTTCATCGTGGTACCTCCAGGGGACGAAAATACCATCAATATGATATTGAAGGATCCTTGGATCCTCTGTAGGTACCACGATGAAAGGGACAAAGATACCAACAATATGATATTGAAGGATCCTTGAAGCCCCTGTAGGTACCACGATGAAAGGGACAAAGATACCAACAATATGATATTGAAGGATCCTTGA